CTCCAATGAGTATGAATGTTTCTTATGAGAACTCAAAACTAAAATGAAAAAAAAATGACTCTCGAACATTATAAATAGATAAATAACTCATGCATCTATAATATACATTATATCCTTATTTATTTATTTATTATTATTATTATTATTATTATTATTAGGGACTTATTTTCTTATATATTTTTGTTTGAGTTTGTAACATGTTATTTAAATCTTTTTATGTTACGACATCATTATGTTGTTTTAACAAAAAATTTATATTAAGAGTTTATTTGTTCTATATTTCATTTTATTCTTGCAATCATATATTTATTAAATTAATTAATTTATCTTATCGGCCAAAAATATTTGTCACCACGTGCATTGCACGTGCACTTTACTAGTAGCCAAGAAAAAAACATTTGAACAATAGTTTGATATTTCGTATCACAAATGTATATTTTAAGTTAGAATAGTATGACATCTCAATTCGCCTAAAGTTAAAGTATCTTAGTTAAAACTCTTGAGGGAGAGCTTTGCCGCCCTTGTGGTCCTACCCGGCTCGATTCCGGATTAGTCGGTTCCCCTGTGGATCCGGAAACCGGAAGGTTTCTGTACCAAAAAAAAGTTAAAAGTATCTTACAAAACAAATTGTATTATTAATAGAGTTGTGTTGCAATTATTGCTAAGGGTAAAATTAGTTGAGAATTTGAGCAAGTTATGGCTAGACAGAACTAATTGTTATTGTTAGTCAATTATTATTTTTTTCTCAATATATGTGTTAATTGACGATTAGACCATTTTGCAAAAGAATTTCTGTTTGTGTAATTTTTATCATATTATTCACAGTTCACAAAAACTTTATGGAGCGATCGGATGAGTTTTTTAATGGAGTCATCCACCACTTAATATATTGACCCCTGTTCATTGTATTTATTTTAGGACACGTGTCAATACACTATTGGTGAATAAGTGTGGTTGACACTCATAAGTCGAACCATCCAATAGAATCATAGCAAAATTGTCCTATTTCAATGTGAGGAATCTATCCACATTTATAAGTAGACGTGGCCATTTCACGAGCCGCGGCCCGGCCTTCTGGGTCGTCGGGCCTTGGATTGATGGTTCTTAACCGGCCCAAGAATTTATATGGGCCGGTCCATTGAACCGACATTGAACCGCTGGGTCACTGACTTCGGCCGGTTCAGCCCGTAAAACAAAAAATGCGTGGCCTATCTTTCAACCCGCAGCCTCGCCTAGATTGCTGGGACCAAAAAA